ACGCGTAGGGACGAGTAGTTTTTGGGGACGCGTATTTTAGTCATTCCCTATCACAAGTTTATTATTTTTATATTTATTATTTTTAATTAATATATAATTATATCAAAAATATAAATTTTTACATTATTAAACATTAAAAGATAATTATTATGTAAAATTTATATTATCTAATATAAACATAGCATCAAATATTAACCCTTCCTTTTTAATATAGATTTCCATTAAAATCCAAAGATTTATTGGAAAAATGGTTGCAAGCTATAAATAGAAAAAATTTTATACCTAATAAATATAGTATTATTTGTGGAAGGCATTTTACTTCTAATTGTTTCATATATACTTTATCTGGTAAGATTTTATTGAAAGATGATTCAATTCCATCAATATTTAGTATATCTAAGCCACTTCAAGATGTATGTTAAAAAAATATTACAAAGTTAAAATAATATTTTAAAAAATATATACTTTTTAGATAACGAATGTTTATTCTACTACACAATCCCTACTAAATAGTGAAATATTATATGAAAATGATCAAATGATACATGTAACAAATGATCATAATTATTGTGCGACTTATAAAACATTAAAAAGAAAAATTCTTTACCAAGAGGCTCTGATTAAACGTTTAAAAATAAAGGCACATGCGTATTATAAGTGCTCAAAAAGAAGGAAAAATAAAATCAATAATCAAATCACTAAAAGATGAAAATTTATTATCGGATGAGGTCGAAAATATTATAGACAGGCACTTTACAGGGACATCTTCTATATTCATAAAAACACATATACACAGTGGAGGCATTTCAAACCCACAAAAAAAAATATACAGATGAATTCTGTCAATTTGCATTGACTATGCATTTTTATTCACCTAAGGCTTATAGATATCTCAAATCGCACTTCTGTATGCCTTCAGAATCCACATTAAGGGCATGGAGTCGTAAGATTGAAATCATGCCAGGTTTATTACACTATTATTTTAAAAAATAATTAAATTAAATAAAGGTTTCCTTTCTATTTCATTTACCCAAATTAAAAGCTACCAAAATAAATCAGCAAAGCAATTGTATTGTGTACTTAGCCTTGATGAAATGCAAATTAAAATGCAAATAGATTTTGAAAATCACAAAGAAGAATATCATTGCTATGTTGATTTAGGTGATGGGACAAAATCAACAAAAGAAGATGAATCATGTCCAGAAGCAACAAAGGCCCTATTTCTTATGGTGACCTGTATTAATAGCAGCTGGAAAATGCCAATAGCCTATTTTCTAGTTGCAAAAATAAATTCAGATTTCCTAGTTAATTTAGTGATAGATGCATTGCTCAATCTAAATGAAACTGGAGTAATATGCAAAGCCATTGTATGCGACGGTTGTGCTGTTAATAAGAAAATGGGTAAATTGCTTGGCATTAGTATGGATCCTGATAATATTATTCCATATATTGAGCAGGAAAGCCATGACTCTTAAAAAATATATATGTTACTAGATGTATGTCATATGCTAAATTATTAAGAAATCTACTAGCTGAAGAAGAAATTTTAGTTAATGAATCAAATGGAGAGGTTACTAACTATATTATATTTGGCTAATTATTTATTTTGTATTTATAGTTAATAGATTGGAAGTTTATACAAAATTTACATAAATTGCAAGAGTTTGAAGGATTACGTGCTGCTAATAAATTGCGCAAAGCACATATTGCATTCCATAAACAAAAAATGAAAGTTTGATAATAAATAAATAATTATTAAATATTTTTTAAAGGTAAAACTAGCTGTCCAAGTTTTTAGTGCATCTGTTGCCAATAGTCTTCTCTTTGCTCAACATCAGGAGATTACTGGATTTCACAATTGTGATGGCACAATTAATTTTATATTGATGATAGATCAGTAATATAAAAATAATGAAATAAATTAATGAACAAACTTATAGAATGTTTGATTATCTGAATACAAGAAATTGTCTTGGGAAGGGATATAAAGCCCCGCTACATATAAATATGATTCCAGAATATCAAATTCATTTTGATAAATGTATTCAAACCTATAAATCTTTAAGGTTAACAAAAGGTGAATACGTTTATAAATCTTCAAAAAAAACATGAGTAGAGGGGCTTATTCTTTCCATGACAAATATCCTGGAAATTGGAAAGGAGTTATTAATTGGAGAAAATCCTAAAATGAAGTATTATATTTAACTTATAACAAGAGTTATTCATTAAATTTTAATATAATAATTTTTTTTAAGGTTCTTTTTAACGTATAAAACATCACAAAATCATTTAGAATTATATTTTTGTAGTATTCGTAGCAGGAGTGGATTTAATGATAATCCATCAGCTTATCAACTACGATCTGCTGTTCGCACTACATTAATGGTGAAATTAGATCCAACAATCACGGGAAATAGCATTCTCTTAGATAATATACAAAGTATTATGTTCAAATTTTCAAAATAATCATAATAATGATGTTAACATTATCAAACCTATAGCCAATCTAGTACCCATACCCACCACTTCATCTTATTATTTTAGAAACACAAACCCACATATCCCGAAATTATCTTTATATTTAGATAATGTATCAACTTATATATCGGGATATATTGTACACCAATTTATTAAAGAAAAAAAGCTACGTTGTGATGTTTGCATTACAGCAATAGTTAGTGATTCTTATAATGATAATAATATCAATAATATGCTAATAAATATTAAAAATAATGGGGGGTTGGTGATACCTTCTACTAGTATGTCCAAACTATGCAGAATATGTCAAAGTTCATTTAGAACTTATCAAAATGAAATCACACATAAAAATATTTTAAAAAAATGGAAGTAATTTTTTACAAAATAATAGGTACAAATATTTAAAAGAAATGAATTTAATATTTTTTTAATAGGCACAAACCTCTTTATTGATCTTTGTGATCATATCATTGAACATGAAATTATGTACAGCCATTTTCAAATTCTTGTAAAATTAATTGTTCAAAAGTAACCAATTATTAGATTTTATACTATTTTTTTTAAAGATATTTAAATATTAGATTTTATCATTTTGTTGACTTAAGAAACCAGGAATTGAGAACTGGTATGTGACAGAATCTTACGAAAGCAATACAATTTAATAATCAATAAGTCATATATAATAATATATATATCTTCTATTATATTTTAAAAATTATATTGTATAAGGAATTATATTAATTTTTTATAGGTGATGATATAATCAAAAATGACGAAAATGTACTCAAAAATAATATGAAAGTGAATTATTGCAATATCTTTTCCTTTTCAAGGCCTATACATTTATATCATTATATACTTATTAAATATACTTTAAATAAATGATTTATATAATATAATTTATACTCAAGCAAAAAATGATATTATTACATTATGTATTTATTGAAAAAAAATAAAAGATATTTTTTTATTTGTCATTTATAATTAAGATGAAATAATCAAAACAAAACAAATGATCAACTATGAAGAGAATCTTAATAGTATATACTTTTGGAGTTATCTTTAGTTCTTCCTTTATAATAAAATTAATAATACAAAATAAAAAAATTAACAGCACCTATTTCTCTTATTAGTAATAAAATTTGTAGATTTTATTTAATTTTATCTATACAGGTCTATTTTTTACATAAACTTATGAGTGATTATTGTTTTAAGTTATAAGCCACTATATTAAATAAAATTAAAAGTACCAGCTACTACAATAAATATAGGTGCATCTATGATATTTATTATTAAAACATGAATCATAAAAGATTATATATGTAAAATATAAAAATAATATATATTTATTATTTTTAATTAATAGATTCTATAAATGAACAACATTGTGTGTAACAAGATTTTTATTGAAATATCAAGTGAATTTGATAAAACTATAAAAGCTATTGTGGCTTTTTATATGTGTATATCTTGAGTCTTATAGTGCGCACAAATTGAGCATTTGCGTTTGCAGTACGTCTTTTACCGTAATGCATCTGTGTTTAAATTGAAAGCAGTACGTTTTTTCTTTGTTTAAAATTGAATCGTGATTTTATTTTTATTAAAATATGGACATATTAAATTTACAAGATAAGCAAATTATTGCTTTATATTTAATTATTAAAAAACCAAAATCTACTAAGACGAGAAGGAAGACTACTAAAATATTCATGGATAGAAATTTATTCAAAGATTTTTTAAATTCATAAATGATTTTTAATGTATAGTATTTAAAAAAATCTAAACACATTTGTAAATTTATTTATTTATCCTACCTTAACATATTTATAATAATCTACATATTTAAATAAAAATGCTAAATAAATTTATAAAAGTTTGTTTATTTATATATATTCACCTTAAATAGAATAAGATATCTATTATATAAAAATAAATAGATTAACAAATAATGCAAATAAAAAAATTTTAAATATATTTTTCTTTCTTTAAGAATAAAAATGATCACTAGAACATGTAAGAGAGTATTAAATGTCTTATTAAAATAATACAATTTTATTTCATTTAATTTATTATATTTACATAAGGTGATGTCAAAATAAAATATTAGCTCAATAAACCATAAAAGTTATCTATATAAAAGGTCAATATCTTAAAATTACAAACACTATTATTTTTTTTACATATTCTGAAGATAATATTGGCTAAATTATGGTTAAAAAAAATGCAAGGATACGTTAGATTTATACTTATCCTAGCTTGTAATCTTTTTAAAATATAGTGGTATTTTTTAGATTAAAAAAATATGTAAATGAATTAAAATCCTAGAAAGGCTTCAAATTTAGATCTCTAAATAATTATTGTTTCAAAATTTATAATATATATACACACTACTACATCTTAATAGCTCCCAAATTTTAGCTTATATTTTTTTCAAAAATGGACACTATAATATAGAATATTACTTTATTATAAATATATAAAAATAAAAATATTTACAATACAAAAATATTTAAGATATTATATCATTAAATAAAGATAAAGGTGTATCATTTGAAGGTGTTTCTGTTGAAGTAGATATTTCAACATTAGTTTGATATTTAGATTGCAACATCAAACTATGATACAATCTTGATGTCTCACTTTTAAAGAGGTATCTATTATTATGGTCCATGCTTTCTAAGCCTGCTTCCATTGATAGTAGATACAATCTAAAATTATATTAAATTTATAGATAAAAATATATATTTTACTGGCTCTCGGATGGCACCTCCTAAAGAGCCAAGAGTCTTTCCTCCACAAGTCTATTTACTTTTGACCCACCGGGCTATAAATATAAATGAATAAATTATATAAAATATCATTTAATATATTCTAAAATTATATAAATATAAATTTATATATTCTAAATGTTATAATATCAATTAATATATGAGATAAATTTATATTTACATTTTTGTATCCATTTAAATTCATTCATTCATTCATTACCACGCCAGAAATTGCACCGTGCAATTTCATCACCCACCAGGAGTTGAAGTGTGCATCATGTATTTTCACTAGTATATAGATCCCATACATGATGTCTACCCGTTTTATTATAGTGGACGGTACCACTATGTAGCCTGTTAGCAAAGTGAAGAAGGAAGAAGTACAATAATGGTGATGTATTAGTTCCGTTTCCGGCAGAATAGTGTTAAGGAAAAAATAGAAATAATGGCATATAAAAAATGTACCTGCGTCCTTAAGTGGTATTTAGTGAAGCAACAAAAAAATAACCCTTATATCTTGTTAAGTATTGAGAGTTTATGTTAAGTTTGCATGAAGAGTCTCTTCCTTGTTTGTTGTTCGGTGTGCCAAAAATATTGTATGTCCTGTAGATCTTGTATGTTCTGTGCCAATGGTATTTAAGTTCGTCCGATTTATTGCATTATTATTATAGCCAGTTTATCTTCTCATTGCCTGTTATACAGCTAATATTTTCGTAATTGTTATCGTTATCGTCGCCGATATCGTGTGTCCAGAAAGGAAGGTCGTGGGTTATTAAAGGAAGTTAAGTTATGTTGTTGTTGTTCAGGTTATTATCATTATCAAATACACTTATTCCATTTATTACAAGAACGTAAAGGTGAAGAACGGTTGCGATATTAATTTAGGCCATATTTTAGCATGTATTGTAAATGTTCCTTTAGGTGTTTCTTGTTTTTGCTAAGTGCCATGAAATCTGCAAACGAGAGGTTAATCAGGTCCATATCTTTCAGACATTTCGCCAACCAATAGTATTTAGGGGTTTTCCTCCTACCGTCAGGGCACCATTTCAAGGACGAGAATATCATATTTTCCTGCGAGTGTCTTAAGCTATGGCCTAGTAATTCTAGTCTCCTCATGGGTATGAGACGATTGATTGGTAGGATGTCGCATCTATTCCAGAGCGTTGTATTTGATGTGTTGTATGGGTAATACGTTTTGGTGATTCTTCTAAGGCATTTGTTTATAAAAGTCTGAATTGTGCTGATGTTACTTTTTGAGTCTTGCCAAGTCTCCAGGCCGTAGGTAAAAATGGGTACAATTAGGGACTTGAAGAGTCTTATTTTTAAATAAGTTGATATTTGGTTGGATGACCATAATTTCGACAGTTGATGATAGCGGAGTCTAGCATTATTCGTTCTCGATTTCGTACCTAAAAAGGTGAGGCCTAATGACGTTATCCTGGTTCCTAGGTATTTAAAATCTGACACTAATTCTATCGTATTACCCTCAAAGTTAAAGGGGTTTAAGTGACTCGCATCAGTATTTGAGGTGATTAGTTTGGTTTTTGTGTAGTTTACTCTTAGACCATATCCATCACAGTTGTTGACAAATAATGATAAAATATTTCTTAATTTGTATTCTGAGTTGGCTAGAATACATACGTCGTCAGCATAACATAGAAAGTTTAAAGAGTTGTGCATATCATTGAGGTGTTGTTGCTCACTGTAATATGTGTTGAGTGCATTCCGCAAAAATAAAAAAGCACAAAAAAATCAAACCAGATTGCTTTTTTTTTAACGCTTGCCGTAAAAAAATCCAATTTGGACAATACCATTTAAAATGCATTATTAGATTTTAAAACGGAGCGTTGCAACGCTCAATTTGTAAGCACTATTATATTTTAGATTACTAATAAAATGAATTGAAGAACTTGCTAAAATCATCAGTTGAGGTGGTATTGATATAGATAATTTAAAAATAATGGTCGAGACATTTGATCCATATGGGTTAAAGATATCTGGGTGGTAAGGTTAATTAGAGATTATTTGGTGGATTTTTTGAGGGTATAATAGATAGAGGTATGGAATATTTTGCATGAAGGGTGGTATTGTGGCTTTTAAATATGTATATCTTGAGTCTTATATTTTAGATTACTAATCAAATGAATTGAAGAACTTGCTAAAATCATCAGTTGAGGTGAGAATTTATTTACGTGATATGTGATAAAGCGCATTCGCCCTCTCAACGTTGTAGGAACAACAGAGCTACGCTTGGTTTTTCTCATTTCCATCTAATTGGATTTATTAAGGTAATCGGGGAAGAAAATATAAGAAACCCTTTACACTTGTGGGCAAGCCGTACGTATTTGTAGGCACAACATTTCGAAAAATGTTGCTTAAACCTCTATAGCCTTAATTTAAAAGGAGTGGGACAAAGAAAAAGCCTATACCCGAGAACTACAGTATAATTTAATTACTTTAAAGGGTGATGGCTAATTTTAAGCTTAATTTTTTTAATGTAAGTTATAATTACTATCAATATTGAGACATAATGTTCATAGAATCTGTAAATAAATATGATTAAAATAAAATAATATTAACCGTTCTATCACTTCAAATTTCGGTTACCAAATTGTATCTCATGATGATTAAATATTTACAGATATCCAATTGAATCTTTCACTACAATTAGCACAGGCAAATAATGCAGACATAATAAATGTAGGCATTTGATCAACCAAGCTACAAAATGGCGCTACAAATGATTGCAATGTGAGGACGTTTTTAATGAATGAATCGCCAATCTATGTTATATATATCATTGCGTCCGTCGCAGTTTGACATGGCGGTTGTCGTACCGTATATCGCAACGTTTATCGAAGGGCCTGTCACGGTAGTTGTCGAGACGTATACCGTCGCGTTCATGGAAGCATTTGTAACCGTAGTTATCGAAGCGTCCATCGAAATGTTGATCGTGGCGGTTGTCATACATGAGCTGGGGCTGCCTAGTGAAAGCATCATATTTTATAAGATTTACGAAGTGGATTGGAGTCCTGCTTGGGCTTCACGGTCTAGTGGCTGTTTATAGCTCGGCCCATATAATTTATCTCTTCTTGTATTTCAGGAATATATATTTTTTTAATGTTTTAATATTTAATATTTAATATATATATATATATAATTTTTTAATATAGTAATCTCAGTGGCCCCTACACTTTTTGAGCGAATGAAGCAGAATACTCCCATGAAAAGTACCCCCTTGAAAAGTATCCCCCCCCCCTTCGAAAAAATGATAATTATGACACTCATAAATTTCAAAAATAATTTTTATTGCACCAATTTTTAATATATAATATAAATAAAATGCAAAAAATATAACTTTATAAATATTATTTTAAATTAATAATTTATATAAATTAGGGGAAGAGAAAGCGATAGAATTTATAATTTCATCAGTATTTAATTGTTTAAATAAAATTTTTCCCATTGATAATATGGTTAAATTATCGAGAAAAGAATCTTTCATAGTACTGCGCAGTCTTGTTTTAATTAATTTAATTTTGCTCATGACTCTTTTGGCAGTACATGAGGTTGTGGGAATGGTTAATAAATATTTATATAAAATTCTTAAATTAGGGAAAGCAGAAAAATTTTAAAGTAAATGATAAGGTAATATAAATGAATAGTTTTTCCAATCTGAATCGTAAGTCCCTGAATTATCATCATCAACAGAAGAAGCTAAATAATGTATTGGTAAAAATATTTTAATTAAATAAATTTACAATTCTCAGAATCTGACAAATCTTTAGATTCTTGAACCTCTAGGTCATGAGTAATAATTACATTCCCCATTTTGGCCATCTTATTTCTAAACTTCAACATTTCTTCGAAAATTTTACTTGAATTTAAATTGTAAATTCACAGATATCCTCGATATCTTCTTTAATAATTGATTTTTCTGCCATTCCCTTTGGCGTAAAAAATGATGTTTGATGTAAAGATTTCATGGAATCATCATTAAATCTTTCGTTAAACTGCATAATAATTAAATCGAGTGCAGCATAAAACACACCTAATCAAAAATGTAGATTTCTCTCCTTCATAAAATCTTGCGCCTTTGAAAAAACATCTAAAAATTCAGTGTTATTATTATCTATTAGATTAAAAAATAATTAAGACAATAATTTTTATTATACTTCTCAAATTAATCAAGCAATCTTTTGCCAATTGAATTTGATTTATTCATACCATATATCCTTCGAAATGGTTTGCAATTTTGTACAAGTCAAACTTGTTATCAACAATATTTTATCCAAAATACAAAGTGATAAGATAAAATCAAATTTTTCTATTCTAAAGACTATAGCACTAGCCATAGTGGAAGTGGCAGGATCTTCAGAATCCTTCTGCCCTCAAGGCATCATAAAGTAGAAAAAAATTTACAATAGCTATATGAGGATAACCAGCTTCTAAATAAAAAAACATTTTAAATCTAAATAAATAAGGTACTATTACCGAGTGGTATTATTGATGGGTAGAAATCGTTCGATTTTTTTAGATCATTACACTGAAATTTTTTGAGTACCTCATATCTTTTTACACCATTAAAATAGACATAAATCTCATCTAGTATTCCTAGAACATTTCGAAGTTCTTTAATTGATTGGCATAATGAACAACGATTAAATTTAATCGATGACAAAAACACCAAATAAAATCTGCCTTTGGCGCCTCTGCTCTAATCAAGGCTTTCACACCATTGATTCTTCCACTCATGTTTGAGGTGCCATCATAACTTTGCCCAAATAGTTGTTCAAGAGGTAAGTTCATCGAGCCAAGTTTGGATATTATATTATGCTTTTTATCGAGACCTGTGGTATTTCCCTTACAATATATGTCAATCATTCTTTCAACAGGCTTCGGCGTCTCACTATTTTCAACATATCTTACTATCAAAGCTATTGCTTCTGATTTCGAAACATATGTATGTGCATGATTGAAAAGCACCTGTTAAATGTAATCTCATTTTGAATTTTTTTTATAACCATATTTTTCATGGTTTCAATGAGAATGTTTATGTTATTATATGATAATAGGTTTGAATATAATTTCGTTTTTAATCCTTTTTTCTTTCTTCATTTTGCTGTATATACATTTTTAGTATAGGTTCAGAATCTGCAATAAACTTAATAAGGGCCATCATATTGACTTTTTGTTGCCTGTTACCCCAGAAGGCTTGGTTACGAGATATTAAATAATCTAAACATCTTATTATAATTCTTATAATAGAAAGGTATTATCTACACATTCTTTCTGAGGTGTTATAAATTTTAATATCGAATTTTTATTATCAGAAAGCCTTCCATAATAGCCCATCATATGTGCCTGTGAAGATTCATGCAGAATAATATCACGATTAATATTTTGCCATTTATCTAGACCTTCACATGTCCATTTTGAATTTGCGTGTGGACCACCAAATAAGAGACATGTTAAGCAAAAAACTTTATACATTTTAATACTATAAGTAATCAAATTTATAGGAATTTTGCTATTGTCAATATTGGTTAATATTTTTAGGCATATTTTAAAATTGGAAAAATAATTTATGACAAGAAATTTCGGATAACAAATTTACTAAACATCGACCAAAATTTCCCTCAATATATTAAATTAAATATTAAGTGGGGGGTCTTATTGTTACATTTATAAACCAGAAATCACATGATCATGATGGATGTAAAAAAAAGTACCCCCACTCAAATTTACTGAAGCAGTTGCTTCGGAACCCCCCCCCCCCCGTTGTAGGGGCCCCTGAGTAATCTTATTATTTTTTAATATATATAAATATATATATATATATACATATTTAAATTTTTTTCTCATATGAAATAAAAATATTTTGCATTCAAGTATTTTTATTTATAATATGAAAAAGCATTAAATAAAAGTATATCAAAATGTATCTTAAAAAGTATCTAAAATATTATCTAGATACAGATGCTTTAAACAAAAATCTATCTAGATACAGGTACCACATTTTTATACCTAGATACGTTAATAATCTGAAAATAAATATACATTTATAATCATTGAATGGTAACCCCCTCCCCTCTCCCCCCTTCTCATAAATAATATAGAAATATTTTAAATAAAATTGTAATATACATGTTTATAATATAATAACTATAATATTAATATATATGAATTATAGCTATAATTTATAAAAGATATATGTGTACATTTAGAATTCAAAACAATTAATATATTAATAATTTATAAAATATATATTATAATATTATCAGATAAAAATTATGTGTAATATGTATTTATAATAATATAGAAATAGTTTTATAATATTAAATGATTTTTATATTAATAATTTATACAACACTTTTAATATATAAAACTTGAATATGTAATATTAAAATTATATAATAATAGTATATAATAAAATGACCCAGCAAATAGGTGTAGCCAGAATTTTACTGGGGGGGGGGGGTAGGTACTATAATTATGTAATTAAGGCGAAATCTGATCTTCAAACCATTTATCTTTTATTACATATTAAATGGCGCCTGAGATATGATGAAGTTTTTTTTCCAAATATTATATCATATATTATAAAAATAAATTAATTTGTCACGTTATCTTTGTTTGGAAATTAAAAAAATTTCCAGAAACCTGCCTTTGAGATGGCTTTGAAAAAAATGTTCTGTATGGAAATGGCCTTAGGGAGGTTTTCCTTATAATTTTTTGGGTCTTTTAATTGTAGGCCTTTGACTATACTATATATAAAGAGAGTAAAAAAGTATAGGCATTTTCAAAATAATTGTCCATTTTTATAACTTTCCTTTGTAAAAATCAAGCAATGTTCATGCTTTTCATAATCGCATTGTAAAAAGTTACAGACCCACTTGACAAACGCCCTCTGACACATCATACTATTTTTCTATTTTTGCTTACCCACCCCGTTTAAGGTTTTATTCTTGATATTTATAATGTTAATATTAACAAGATCATAATATAAGAGTATGACAAGCCAATGCCATGTCAGTGATTTAATGACATAAATTTATTATCAATTATTTTTTATAGCTTAAGAATAATCTAGAAAATTCAAAATGGTAAATTTATTTTTACATGCGAAATAAAACGTTTTTTCCTTAGTTTAGAAATCATTACGATAGCGATGTTACCGTACTTAGCCCACAAGTATGAATATAACTATCATCAAATATTTAATTATATATATTAGGGGCGCATACATCAAATTGAATATGCCATGGAAGCTGTCAAACAAGGAAGCTCAACTGTTGGGGTTAAAAATAAAACTCATGCTGTTATAGCTGCCTTGATGGTTATATATTTTTTGATATATAATATCATTTATTTAAGAGACCTGTAGTTTACTTATATTTTTAAATAAGGTTTTAAGGTTTCTCTATTGATAAAAAAAAATCCAAACATTTACTTCAATAAAATTAGTTATTTGTGGGTTTGAAATCTACTAATTTTATGGTAAAACCTTGATTTACTAAATTTTGCCATTCTAATTAATGTTGTAACCATTTTGTAAATTGATTTGAATAGATATTGAAGATATAGTCAAATGAATATTAATAATTTATCACATTATTTTCACTAATTGATATATTTTAAAATATTTGGCCTCAGAATTGATTTTAAACCCATCCTCATTTTTTTAGAATTAGAGGTTGACATTGCTCAAAAGCCTCTCATGTTGGCCTGGCTAAAAGTTATCTTGGTGACATTTATGGAAAATATTTTTATAGGTTGTTTTGAAATTCAAAAAATTTTAAGCTTAGAATTAGGCATATTTATATCTATGCTTCATAAAATTTTTATGGACCAGATAGTTTATGCAAAATTATTTTGCAAGCTGTAAAATTTTTTTACGGGTCAGGCTTAAACAATGACATATACCACATAAATGGACAATATATTTATCTAAATAAATATATATTATATACAAATCAACTTGTGACATTATTTTGGTTTCTTATAATCAAAACCTAAAAAATTTCACTTATAAAAATATTTATATGGGAATTAAAATGATGCCACCAGTTGATTTGCATAAGAGGAATTTGGTAAGAAACAGCTAAAAACCAAAATAGCGAAAAATAAAAAATATACAAATGTTCCCATAATGTATTACTCCACTAAAAAAGTCATAAATTAAAATATTATAAAATATTAATAATTATAGTAAATATTTAGTATATAATTAAAAATTATATTTAATATTAATTTTTTAAATATATAATAAAAATGATCTCTATAAATTATTCTTAATATAATAGTTCTATGTAATCTAGAATAATAAATATATTAAATTTATCTCAACAAATTAAATTATTAACATGGTATTTATATATTGTCAATTTATAAATATTAATTTTTTGTATATTATATTAATATATATGGCCATTAGATAAAGTCTACCTTTAAATATTATCAATTGGTAAATATTTAGTATATTTTTAAATAAATTATAAAAATGATTTACATAAAATTATTTAATCTAGAGAATTATTAATTTTCACAATAAATTGTTATTGCCTAATATAATATGAATCATTTTTAAATCCGAAACATGATATTTATATATTTTCTGGTATTTATATATTTTTAATTTATAAATACTAATTTTTGTATTTTTAATTTATAAATACTAATTTTTGTAAATTTAATTTAAAAGCTTAGAAAACAATATATCTTTCTTATAAAAATTTATTCATAGTAAAAGAAGTTTTTAATTATTTATATTTTAAATATTAACTCTTTTACATTCACTTTTATGATAAGTGTCCCTATCAAAATAATAGGATTTAGATTTTTTATTTTTAATGTTAAAGCCTTCTTTATATATTAATAAATGATTTATTTTAAGTTATACATTGCATAGACAGATTGATCATTTATATTTGCACTGAATTATATATATTATAATAACACAATCATAATACAATATGCATTCATAAAAAATATTAACAGTGAATAATTAATCATATCTATATTGCATATTAAATATAATATAAAAACTATATTGATGTAAATCAATTAGAGCATTACTATATCAATTGGGAAATCACAATCATCTAAAATAGATTTATTAATTATGTTTATTTAAAGGATTGAAAAAAGGAATATTATATTCATATAATAATAATCTTCAATAGCTGCTTCCCCTGCTGATTTATTATCATTTGCAGGCTAAATTATTTACACCTAAAAAATTTATTTTAACATAATAAACAAAGTAAAATAAATCTATACCTTTAGCAAAAGTAGCATGACCTCTGTATCTTCTTCTACTGCATTTTAGGTTGGCTGAATTAAATTTGGGCCTAAAATCAATTATTAAAAAATTTATACTTTCAACAGCAAAGGCTTGAGTATCTCTTATTAGAAAGTTGCTTGTAGATTGCATTGAATTTTCAAATAAAATATTAAATTTAGTATAATAAATAAAGTAAAATATGGCTATACTTTCAATGGTAGTGAGCAAATCCTGTGCATCTTTTTTTTACTACAATGGTTGGCTGAATTAAATTTAGGTCTAAAATCATTAAACATACTAAAAACCAGAGTTGTTAAAGTAGCGCTCTAACTTTTTGGTAGCTATAGCTAATAGCTGGTAATGTTTTTTAATTATTTAATTTTTTAGCACACTACTTTTTTTGAAAGTAGCTAAGTAGCCGTACTTAGCTACTTTAAAAAAATATAAAGAAGGTAAGTATAAAAATGAAAATTTAAATATAATATCATAATTAATTATAATTTTTATGATTTATTATTTTATTTTGAATTTGAAATATATTTTTAATTTGTAATTTATTTTTTCATTTGTATTATAAACCTAAATCACGTGTTAATAATTTAAAATGTCATCGCCTATGGATATCCAAATAGTTGAAAGTGATTCAGACAATGATATTAATGAAATGGAAGATATCAGGGAAGAAGATGTTCTTAATAGCTATAATACAAATTTCCCATTCCCTAGATTTGAATAATTTTTTAAATAAATATATAATACAAAACTGGCTTCAAATTTATTTGTTTAAAATGTAAAAAAAAATATTTCCTCAAATCAATCCAGTAGCTATAACCTCAATAAACACCTAAAAGTAAGTTGTCATTTTTACATTCTAATAGTATTTATTTTATAAGACTGTTCATGAGTTTTAAGGAAATGGAGAAACATCTAAATAATTTTGGTATAAGCAACTCTACATCCAAAAAAACAAATTCAATTCAAACCCAATTAATAAATAATGCAAATGACAATATTTCTCAGAAATTAGCTGATATAGTTATTGTTGAATTTATTATTTATACAGTTCAGACAATGTCCTTGGTTGATAATCCATCATTTACCATGATGATTAAAACTATATCCCCTGGTACAACGATTTTATGTCACCAGACACTAATGAATAAAATAGCAGATAACTTTAAAATGATGAAAGATGCTCTAATAGTAGAGTTATCAGAGATATCATATATATGTACCACGGGAGAAAGTTGGACACATAACAGAAGATAAAAACTTATTCATATTTATAAATTGATCTGATTAAATATTTTTGAACTTATTTGGGAATCACAGGTCATAGGCGACCCTAGAACTTTAAAAAAATCTGTGGCCATAGCCCTCAAAATAATAATAGGATGCCAGACATATGATGTACTTGCAAATAAAATTATTGATAATCTATCTTATATTAAAAATATGTTTATAAGATTAAATACACCTTTACCCTCAAGTGCTAGTGTCGAGAGATTCTTTAGTAAGGCAAAACTTAAACTTTCTGATCATCGCTCTAGACTTGGGGATGATAATATAGAAATGATTTTATTATTAAAATGCAACAGATTACCATAAATTATTATTTTTATTACATAAATTTTTTTACAATCAAAACTAACTATATTTTAATATTTATAAATGTTGATTTTTATATATTTACTATACAATAACATTATAAGCAAAAAATAATAAATTTGTTTGTAATTTTTTTTTATAAAAAGTAGCTTATAAAAAATAGTAGCTAATAGTGAGCTACTTTTTTTGACAAATAGCGATAGCACGCTACTTTTAAAAGTAGCGTTTAACAACTCTGCTAAAAACAATTGGTAAAAAATTTATACTTTCAACAGGGAAGGATTGAGTATCTCTTATGAGAAAGTTGCTTGTAGACTGAATTGAATTTGTCCCTAAATTAATAAATTTATTTACTGTATCACATTAAATTATTAATATTTCATTTACATTAATTGTTTTTAAATTTTCAGAGACTGTTGGGATTTTCATTGTAATACTAATTATATACTTTTCTCATAAGTTTTCGCCATACTGGGACATTTTTGGGAACAATTTTAAAAATGTTCCCTGATTTTCGCTGTTTCGATCTTTGCTATATCATGCCCAGGCAGCATAGGAGATGGGGAAAAAAAATTAAATTAAAAAAACTATTTACAACAAAATAAACAATATTAAAATAAACAACAGAAAAAATTGAAAAAAACTATTTTTCAACAAAAAAATATTAAAATAAAAAAGAGAAAAAATTTAAAAAATGATAACACCAACATTGAGGGAGCAAAGATAATTTTTTTAAAATCAACATTATTTTTATATTAAAAAAAAATACTTTATTGAATTTTATTTTTTAAAGCTAAAATATTATTTTAAAAATTATAGCAATTATTTTTAATAAATAAAATTTTTATTTTTTCTAAAATATTAAATATATAAGTCAATTTAATATTTAATTTTTTTTCTCTTTAAATTAAAATATGCCATGATATAAATCACATCATAAAGTTTTTATTACTAGAGAAAAGAGGAAATATTGTAATTTATGAATGTATATTTTGCTCAAAACAAATTTTTTTCCTCAAATACCAGCAGACTAAAGGATCATAATATAAATGGTAAAAATGATAAATGCTCAAGCAGAAAATGACATTTTACTTCTAACATCGTGAGCATGCTACAACCCTTTACCATCTTTAACAAACCTTATCTTCTCCTCTTAACTTAATATAATTATTTATTAATTTAATCACAAACTTTCTAAGTCTTAATTTTTCTTCCACTTAATAATAATTAACTGAATCACACTACTGTCAAAGTTTATCATTTTTATTTTTTAAATCAAGCCAATAATTCATAATAATTACAATAATCATCAAAAGCTAAAAATTCCAGAAAAATATCATAAATCTGATGATTATTCACAAAAATATAAGTCAATAATATCTAATAATAATTATATTTATCATAATACCTTGTTTAAATTCTACCAATCTGATTGGCATTTAAAT